GGCGGGGTGGAAAAGATCACAAACGCTATAAAGTCGCAAACTTTACACAACATTGCTAGTAAGTAGATTCAGTAAATCATGTCAGTAAACGACCGCGTGGTGACGGATTAAGAATACAGAGTGTCACCACCCCTATTCATCCCGTGGGTGTCGTAAGAAGCGACTAAGGGAAAAAATCTAGTCAGGACAACAGCACTGCAGAGAGAAGGAAAACTTGACACAAACCCTATACCAACCCGTCTGGCCAGCGTGGTATAGTATAAGCCAAAACCTCCTTTCTGAGGAGAGACCTATGTCCAGCAGTGGACTATTAAAGGCTGTTGATGATGATGATGAAACAATTTCGGTCTACAATAAAGAGTACAACAAGCTATCTATATAAAACAGTTCTTAATAGTACGATTCTGTGTAGTCTCACACCCTGTATACACAGGTAGTTCATTAGTAAAAAGCAAGCTGTGTTTCCGACAGCTACGTCCGCCCATTTCGTCATCAACGTTTAAACATAGATTCCCCCACATACTGCACTACTTCTTGATGTTATAATCCAATTATTATAATCAACATCTCGAAAATATATTTACAAATTTATATGTCGTAGCCAGATCATTTCAAATGATCAATCACATCATGATATAATCTGGCCATATCAAAGGTCAATCATATTGATCTCATCGTAAAATACTCTTATTATTAAATTGAAAGGTGCAAATATCGTTTAGTTTTAGTGATGCATAATGTGCAATTATTATAAACGAATTAAATGAAAATGTAGCGCAGAGTCCTTGTAAGTTCCTTGTTTATTTGGAAAAAAATATAAAACAATTATATAATTGATAAAGTCCATATCATCAAGTATTGACGTTTAAACGACATGGTCAGTTTTAGACGGCTATACCATTATATAGCGGTCAAATGAATTCTATGATCTGGCCGAGAAATATGTGTATTTTGTTGTTATTAAAAATTTAACGTCTATTTGTTCGCAAATCTCTGAAAAATTTCTCTTTATCGATCGTTTCCTCCCTCCTCCTCCTTTTTAAGGAGAGGCTTTTGTCCAGCAGTGGACTATTAAAGGCTGTTGATGATGATGATGATCGTTTCCAAAGTGTTACAGGTTTTATTCAAAAATGCGCATTTTTTTTCTTTAAATCCGAAGACAGAAGATATGTTTAGAAATGATTGTTTGTTCGTATTTTATACAGCAAAGGGCATTGCCATAAAATACTTTACATTTTAAAGTATTCGAAGAGGAGGAGGAAATAAGTATTACGCGAACGAAGCCACAGGCAAGGCAAAGCTAGTATATTAATTTGTTCTAAGCTAAAATCATTTGATGTGTACCTTAAATACTTCTGAACAGGAACGGTTGACTAAGGTCTTCATAGCCCTGCAAAATAATAGTTTAGTAAAATATTCCTTTGTTTATACTGTATAAATATATTATTGTTATAAGTAAATGACTCTAATTTCATATTTCTGTAGCCTCTGGCCTGAGAAGACTTGGACAAACCTAGAGAATTGAAATCCTCTAGAATATTATTAAACATAATCTCTTTGATATTTAAAACTATTAGGCTGAGCTTTAGTGACTGCAAAATGCATTTCTCAAAAAAAAAATCTTCATAAAAAGTATATATCTATACATTTTTAATAGTATCATCGAAATAATTAGGCCTAAATTAATATAAATAGTAATTAGCTTCCGTGTCCGTCCGCTTTCCATGTGGTGACGGATCAAGAATACGGAATGTCACCACCCCTATTCATCCCGTGGGTGTCGTAAGAGCCGATTAAGGAAGCAAAATACGCAGGACAACAACACTGCAAAGAGAAGGAAAACTTGACACAAACCCTATACCAACCCGTCTGGCCAGCGTGGTATAGTAGGCCAAAACCTCCTTTCTAAGGAGAGGCCTATGTCCAGCAGTGGACTATTATAGGCTGTTGATGTTGATTGATGAGTAATAAGCTTTATCGTAAAGCCTTATTTTTTTTCACTTCTATGAGTTGAAATATTTTAATCAAAATTATAATGGCACAAATATAAATAATATAATGGCGTACAAAGAATATGTTAAAACGACATACTCACTGGCAAAAACTGTTATTTAGCGACGTGGAAAGTTTCTGAAAACAAAAAAAAAAAAAGAAATATTATACATTAAGTATTAATATGTCTATATATACTGTTAAAGCTATGCAAGCGTAAAAAATAGGTGTCAACCGTTGGCCACAAAGTGTCGCTGTGGTGTCGCTGAAACTATAAACGCACGATTTGCAGACACACGAGCATATTAAAGTTGACCCATTTGTTTTTGTCTGAGTATTATATATTATATTTTCTACTATAAACATAATTATGTATGGTTTCAGCCGTACAGTGACACTATATAGTATAATTTTTCTATATTCTTCTTATATATATTCTCTATTTAATTAATCTATAATATTTATGTATTTAGAAATATATATGTATGTTTATCAGCAGTCTGGTTACCATAGTACAAGCTCTGCCTCGTTTGGGATCAGACGGCCGTGTGAAATGTGTGAAAAAAAAAAAAAAAAAATATAGTTTTAAAAAACTAAAAAACACGCTTTCTATAAAATAATAAAAAAATTAAAAAAAAAAAATATATAGTTTCAAACAAAGTTTAAAAAAAGTAAAAAACACGCTTTCTATAGAAAACCAAACTAAAAAATAGAAAATACAAAAAAGCGTGGGGTGCTTTTTACTATTGACAACAGGCAGACAAATTTTAGTTTTTTTTTAAACTATATTTTTTTTTAATTAGTGTATTGTCATCGGTCCTCGATATATCTACAAAGTTTGAACGAATTCTGACCGTTTAAAGTCAGTCAAAATCACGTCCAAAGGAGTCGGTTACAAACATACAAATAAACATACAAGTGAAGCTAATATAAAGCGTGTAAAAAAAACTGTGAACACGTAAACACTAACTTTTGAACTCTCATTATATGTACGAAAATGAAAGAGATCGTCATCCATGGTCTCAGACTGGCGTTGTGACCCCGGGCAATGCAACCTGCCCGAAACGTCAGATCAAACGTTCAGATGGCGGATGGCATAGTAGTTTGTGTAACGGATTGCTATTCCAAAGGCCGCGGGTTCGATTCCCGCTCAAGTCAAACATTTGTGTGCATGAACATTTGATGTTTGATTTGGTCCGGGTGTTTCTATGTATAATATGTATCTATTTACCAAAAAAAAAGTAGATATGTAACCATAGAACAAGCTCTGCTTAGTTTGGGACTAGATGGCGTTGTGTGTATGTGGTAAAAAAAAAAAAAAAAAAAAAGGTATATCACAGCCCAGGACAAATTATTGTGTGGTAAGCACGATTATTTGTTCCGATTAGATTATGTTCCATTCTATGTAACAACTCAGACGCAACAAATAATCGTGGTTATCATACAACAAATGATCGTGCTCATCACAAAATTATTTGTCCTGGGAGACGACTCCACCACGTCTGGCTAAGCAGTGAGAATCACTAACAACTAGAGTCTAGTGGCTGCCCTGTTGGTCTAGGCCAGTCATTTCAGTTATCTGTTCAGAGTCCGTGTGGTGACGGATTAAGAATACAAATTGTCACCACCCCAATTCATCCCGTGGGTGTCGTAAGAGCCAACTAAGGCAGCAAACTAAGCAGGACAACAGCACTGCAAAGAGAAGGAAAACTTGAAACAAACCCTATACCAACCCGTCTGGACAGCGTGGTATAGTAGGCTAAAACCTCCTTTCTAAGGAGAGGCCTATGTCCAGCAGTGGACTAGTATAGGCTGTTGATGATGATGATGATTCAGTTATAAAAGAAGAAAATGCGCAACTTAAACTGCTGGGTATAGAAGCATAAAATTTTGCACGAATGTTTAATAGGTGACGTAGATATGCACTAAGAAACGATTTTAATAAAAATTCCACCCCTATGTGTGTTTAATAATTGTAAAGTGGTGGTAAATACTCTTTATTAAATAAAAAACATTTTTACTAATTTTTCAAAACTACCCTTAAAAAGGGGTGCAAGTTAGTATGGAGAATATACCTATAATCTTGATTCATTGTATCCTCTACGACGTCTAATTATGACCAACACGCGGATGAAGTCGCGAGCAAAATTTTGTAATATTCTGAACCTCAATATATGGCTAAAACATATTAAATTGAAATCATTTACAATCTACAAAGATTCAGTAAAAAAAACTCTGAACTTCTCACCTCTTGATTCTGGATACACTCCTCGACGTTACAATGATCCCTGGAAATGGGGCCACAGTTATAAACAACCCATGAACTCGTGAAGCAGTTTGGAACACGCTAACTAGTTGCCAGATAGTATTTTTAGCTGGCAATAAAATATGAAGGTGACGCATTTATGGGGTTGTCTTACACGGGCTTTGGGCAATCATAAAAGTGATATCTTTGACTAAACTTTCTTTAACTATGATTAAATACCCAGTATTTAATTAATCAAGTTGAACAAGTAACTCGCCATTCGATTTGAAAACTTGCATCATCTCTCGGTCATGTGTTACAACATCATCCTAATATGAAAAAGAGAATATGTATAGTAAAATATAACCAGTAAAACTATCTGTAGCAAAAATATGTATAATCCCACAAGGGGTATAGTGTAAAGTAGATATAGACTAAAAAATAGCCAGATATATAAGGTCCCGGTGTATCCTTGACTGGGGAAAAGCGAATAAAAAAAAAATTAAAAAAAAAAAAAAAATGAAAAAGAAAAAAATATAGTCAAAATATCTCTATGTGCGTTCCTGATCAAGCGGCGCGCGATGGCAGCGACACCTCTTGCGCCATATTACATTATCACCTTTTATTCTCAAATATACTAATAATTATTTTTTTAAATCCCCTTGTTCATTATTAAGAGCCAGTAGGTAACCTGACATATTGGTCCTTCGAGCCGGATATTTTTTAGGGATGGGGGGCAAACTAGCATATGAGTCACCATAACTTACTCATGTTCATGTTCGTTGAACATTTCCGCATCACACTCCTGGCTGTTCTCCCTCAACTCTGGAATCTGCATTTGTACAGACTTGTGAGTAGGACGTGTATTCTTAAACTTGATACAAGATCTTGGACAAATCTGTGATAAATTTAGGTCTGAACAGGTAGGCAAACTTGAGTTTCGGCACACGAGCGTACTTGGTCCCGGGCACGGACCAGAACAACTGGAAGAAGAATCTTTAGGGAGTGGACAGTTAAAAGGTGTGCATTTCGTTGAATCTATTTTCAGTTCCTCGTTGGAGGCATCTGATATCAGGATCGGAGGTGACGGCGGCTGAAAATTGAGAAATCAATTAGTAAAAAAACATGGGCGTGATTGACTACAGACCAATATATATTACAGTATGGGTATGTTGTTGTTATACATATACTATTTTACCTAAATAACCCTTCAAAAGTTTACAATATAAAATACCAAAATCCATTCAGAGTATTCAGATAAAGATGCAAAATGAATGCCTTCGAGTGTGCCTTAACGTGTTTCATTGCCGTAAGTAGTGGTAATTAAAACTACCATATAATACATAATAACACACAAATAAGACAAAAAGAAAAAGTGTATTGCGATAGGGTGGATTAGTCGCCCCGTTATACAAATAGTCCCTTCCTAATACATCTCACAATTATACAAGCGACAATTTCCTTAAAAAAAGTGCATTTGCACCGCCTACCAAATCGTGTAAGGTACAAAGTGATGCAGAATAAGAATATTTCTAACATTAAATTACTGAGAAGACTATCAAATTTAGTCGTTACTATCCAATGCGCACTTAAGTAGACCATCTAAGGAAATAAAAATAGAATCACGCACACTTCCAATGATGGATATACCGGAGAAATCTCTCACACACTCACAAAGTACCTTCTTTTTGTCCGGAGAAGACTTAAGAGCAGACCACTGACAACACACCGCCATCTGTGATTAAGATTCGAGAAATACTTTAGTGATATTTACTGGCAAAAAATGAATGACATATAATAAACAGACACGCACTCCCTTTACATCGGGCGAACCTGTGTCTCTTGAACAAAGACATGTGATCTGAGTATTTCCTGATGTTGATGTGGTTGCAAAATATTGGCAGTACACGGACATCTGTAGTCAGATCAGAAAAAATAATTAACCAAGTTTATAGGTTATATGGCGAACTTAATTAAAGAGCAGAAAAAGAGTTCCATTATCCACTTCCCGGCTTCACCATCACCTTTGTCACTAAGCCCAATCTGTATGACTCATCAGAACAAATCATATGAGGGTTTTAGTACACCGAAAGTTTTTGTCCACCTGGTCCATCAAATGATCAGCTTATAAATGCTGAGAGGCAATGTCATTCAAACTAAGGTAGACATATTCGCCAATGCACTACCAAAATTCAAAATACTTGTTAAAAGTTGCTATGAGGTTAGTTAGGCTTAGGAAATGATTCAAGTGGTCTCTTAGGTAGTTAAAATTAAAATCATATAATAGTTATAAGCTTGTTAATTGTTTTATTTATTTTATTTCATATTTGTTCAATTAAGTGTTAAAATCAAATAGATGTTTTTTCCATTTTTAGCTTTACGTAGTAGTGTTACTCTATCTTGCATGTTGTGACACCTTAAAATGTTGTGCATTAATGTTAATATAATAGATGCATGCTTTAGATTTTAGTAAATAATATAACAACTACTAGCTGTCCAATAAATCGCCAGAGAGTGGGGACCTCTGGTGGCAGATTAATTGCTGCGGTAGGGGATAGGATGGCAGCCTGATCGCTCTGAAAATGTGATCGGGCTGCAACATCTGGATAGTCTGAGAGGCAAGGAGAAGCCACTGGCTTTCCCCGAGATGGGACCTAGTTAGGTGCGGCGTCGATCTGGGGGACCTGAAATCACATGGCCCGGGTTCTCCCAGAGCAGGGCGCCTAAGGCTGGCCGTCAGAGTGGTTTTTAGTGGAATCACCACATACTCCTGGCTCCTATATCCCCAAGGAGCCGGAGATCTGAAGGGAATTTCCACTTCGTCCACCAAAAAAAAATGCTGTCCAATAAATAAATGTACATATACCACGTTTGATTTGGCAGGATAATAATATAAGGTAAAATTTAGTGCAGTTAAGTGGTAAAAGTGTCGTATAATATCACTCACTCTCTCTGTTGTGCTAGGTGAACCCTGGTTTCTTTCGCACGCGCAGTTAATATTAGTCTCTTCTGAAGTATTACACGTCTCGCCTGTGCTCTGGTTAGACACGGCCATCAAGCATTATATTAAAATAGTAGAATAAAAAGGCATTTAAAAACGGTCGCATATGTAAGTGGAATAAATATCTGACATCTCGCCTATCATCTGACGGTCAACTCCGCGCGGTCATTAGTCAAATCAAATTGAACGTGCTTCTACCACTTTCTGTAACACACACACTTTTTACGAACAGAATGTAGGAAAGCGAGATGACACTCCGCATACTACTACGATAATTACTATAGTATAGATAGTTCAACTCAGTTGTGCGCGCGGCCCTATGTGTGCGTGGGCTTGTAAATATACAACTTTCATTCGTGTGGCAGTGACGCGGCAGTCGTCGTCCGAGCAGCACACGAATGAAAGTTGTATATTTACAAGCCCACGCACACATAGGGCCGCGCGCACAACTGAGTTGAACTATCTATAATGACAAATTATTTTTTAGCTTTAAAGAAACGCTAGAGAAGGTGTCCCTGTGGTGACGGATGAAGAATACGAAGTGTCACCACCCCTATTCATCCCGTAGGTGTCGTAACAGCAAACTACGCAGGACTACAGCACTGCAAAGAGAAGGAAAACTTGAAACAAACCCTATACCAACCCGTCTGGCGGGCCCAAAACCAAGCCAAAACCTCCTTTCTAAGGAGAGGCCTTTTTTTTTACGTGTGGAAATCCCCTCGGACCGTCACCCCGCCAGGGCTCCCGTTCGGCGGGGCGGTGTGTCGGACTCGAACCGACTAAAACCACACGGTGTGCCCTCTTTGCGCTTCCAGTTTAGGAGGGGTCCAGGTAGTTATCGCCTTCTGGACCCCTCCCAGCGCCGGCCCGCTCCTGGTGCGGGCTCCGTCTCCATGACCTCTCTTTTTAGGCGACGTCCGGCACACGCGGACGCCGCCCCCTCGCGGCTGGCCAACGGCCTATGTCAAGCACTGGACTATTAAAGGTTGTTGATGATGACGTACGTCTGGTTAATATAATTAATTGAACGTAATACTAAAGACTTACTCTATCTACGGCGGTTCCATCTGATGGGCCACAGACTCCAGGGCATACGCATGTTGTCTGAATTTCTTCCGGAACATTCGTAGCAACAGAACATGAACAAAATTCCGTCTGTCATCAAAATAAAAATGAAGTCATTAGAACAATCAAAATGATCACCTGTATATACATTTAAATAAATATAAGTGAGTGGGTGTAGTGACGGATTCATCATCATCAACAGCCTATACTAGTCCACTGCTGGACATAGGCCTCTCCTTAGAAAGTCGGATTGAGGATACGCAATGTCACCAAATAGTTCTATTCATCCCGTGGCTGTCGTAAGAGCCTACTAAGGGCGAAAAACAACGCAGGACACCATCACCTCAAATGGAAGGAAAACTAGACACAAACCCTATACCAACCCGTCTGGCCAGCGTGGTATAGTAGGCCAAACCTTCCTTTCTAAGGTTGTGGATTATTAAAAGCTGTTGATGGAATGTGGTGACCGACATAATTATGTACACACTTAAAAAAATTACATATTAAATTAGTAGGACTATTTGCCACCATCTTCGCTAAGATGTCTGAATCCTGAGAAAAAAAACAGTACTCTGTCTTAATAATTTTTTAGTTTGGTCAAAAACAATCTTCAGCCAGTATCAGAACTACTCGAAAACTCGAATGGTTTAGTTATGATTAAAGCGAGGCTAGAGACAGGGCCCATATATGCTTAGGGTATACCTGGTTCCCCGCCTATTAGTACCCGGTTCGAGTCCGACATGCCACCGATACCGGTGGTATCCGACGGGATTTCCGCACTTAATAAAATACAAAAAAAAGGGCCCATATATGCTACATATATGCTTATATGTAAAAATAAGCATAAAGAATATGCAAGTTGTTAATTAACTTTGACTGCACGGATGGCGTAGTGGTTTAAGCGGTCACCTCGCCGCTTACTACTACGCTGAGTGTTGGGGGTCCGATCGCAAAGTGTTGTCCCATGTGGGCATGGGACAACACTTTGTGTGATCCACAAATAGTTGTTCTGAGTTTGGGTGTATTAAAGTCCCCCGCGACAAAGGATATATTCCTAATGCGGAAGTTGTCTTTTTAAAGCAAAGGAAAAAAAATTGGTCCAAACAAAAGATACGGGCTCAGGTATAAACTATACGAGAAGTAACTTACCTTAGGCCTAGGTAGTAATATTCTAACCAAATTGCCATACATGTTCCACCACTATACGAGTAGAATTACTAAATTTCTTCACGAAATTCTCGAAAGTACTTCCACAACGGATTTATTAGAAGCCCAAAAGAGCCATCTTGCTGTGCGTGCAATGCAAACGTATATATAGGTACCTATGTATAGCACAAACACCAGTGACCGTAGGACATAGACCCCTCACAGATTATCACCAAATATCTACTAAGGAGAGGCTTATGTCCAGCAGTGGACTATTAAAGGCTGTTGATGATCTACTATAATGTGTTTGCTAAACTCTGTAAGTTTTAAGCTAACACGATATGATATTTTTTTGTTTCTGAATAAACTAATACATTTAAAATCGTGCTCCTGACGTTATCATTTGACTTTGATAGAAAATTAAACCAACACATCGAACAGACGGTATCGATCAAAAAATAAGACAAAGAGATGCATTCTTCTCTGTCGTGTCGCTCTTGGCAAAGCGGTCGTGGTCCATAAGATGTCCAAAAAAAAGGTACAGAAAATCTTTAAAATTTTCTAACACAGTAAAGTGTACACCCAAAATTATAACTCAATAAATCATTTAATAACATAACAATTACAAAATCAGGAGATATATCACTCTCTGTTAAGGAAAGCATCATCGTCAGATTCCTGAGTGTGTCCACAGTCGTACGCTCTCATCTCCTCGCAAGTGGCTGCATCCGAGATAGCATTCGACGAGACAGTATGCCCACGAAGAACATTACTATGATCTATATCCGTTTTTATTAAACTATCATTTCCAGTAGCGTCACGATGTAACAGACTCTCGCGCAATGGAACGTCTCGTTTGCGCCGCGGCTGTGCGCGTACGCATTCGATCGTCACCGATTCGTACGACGCAGACGACCCACGAGGACATTCGCCGTCGCCGCTCACGAAGTCCTTGGGCTTCAACTCTGTCGCTTCAGATGTTTCCTTAAGCTGAAAATTATGTTCACTTATCATGTGAGACGTTATGGGAGCAGAAGTCCAGTTAAGAATTTGAACGTGAAACGACTTTTGGGTTACGGATTACGGATACGGCAATTAAAGAAACTTTATCAGGTATACAAAAGTTTCTCCAAGAGTTTTAGTATTATAGTTTCAGCACATATACAAATTTATCTTTTTGGTACATTAATAATATTTTTCGATGTTAAAGATCGAACTAAATAATGTTATTAAACTTTTTCTGTGGAAATTATACAAATGTTTTTGTACATTTATAAAACCCTTCGGTTCAGTTTCGTTAGTCTTCAGAAACTTAGTCATAAGAATATAATATTCCAGCCCAGAAAACCGCTAACCTTAGCTTTAGCCTGTTTAAGCTGGCGACGCATCTCACGGATAATATCATCCTTGAACTGCGCACGTACGGAGGCGGCCCGATTCTCCTCGACCAGGGCCGCGCACAGCCGTCGCATGGCGTGCATCTCTTCAGTCAGAGATACGTTCACCTTGCGAAGAGCGCGTACACTGTCGCTGCTCGACTGGACAAAGAGAATCAATGTAATCAAATTTTACTGCTCTATCAAATTACTGGAACTAACGTTCTCCAAAAAAGAGATAGATAGATACATATGCTCTGAAACGTGTATTTTACTAGCCCAATGTGAATCAAACTCAAAATATCTTTATTTCCTAAAAAGAATAAAAATTAGTCTTCACACAATAGCAACAACCTATGCTATAATTATGTTATCAAATATTCGGAAAAATTAAGTTAATCCATTATATGCCTGTGCCGATCTACAAGCGCCCCTTTGCGAGGAGAATACCATAGTTCCATGAAACTGTCCGATTTAAGGCATATTTCCTCTAACCTTTTCCCGTTCTTGTAACAGTTCTAACGCAAAGAACACCCGTAAATATATATTTGACGTAGTGGTCCTAATAATAAAAACTGGAGACACCTCACACACAGCCCAAACTAGACAGAGTATATTGTAAACATATAAAATTAGTAACCATAATTAATAACATGTACTGGCGATAGCCAGCCTGCTAAATAATATGTATTTTTAGATAAATTGTACTCCAATACAGAAAAAATTATCGAGATTATTAAATAAATAATTGTCTTGTATAGGAATCGAACCCAAAACTTCCGAGTCAACAGCTAGAATCACTATAATAAGAGCTAATAAGTTGAAATTACCTTAAGATTGGACTCCATTTGTTGTATTCGCTCCTGAAATTGTAGAGTTTCATCTTGCAACATCTCCGAGAAGTCCTTTACAGGCTCCCAGTCGCCACACTGTCAGGTTGCGGACCAACCACAGGTGTACAAACAAAATACATTTCAACCATCTATATCATTACTGCGTACAGCAACATTAATACAGCCAGCTACGTCCACTAGTACCCAGCAACAAATTATTGCATACATGTGGGGAAAATATCATTTAGTTTTATTAAATATAACCGATAGTCTTTAGAAATTCTGATCAATAACAAAAACTCCCCGGGTACCGAAAAAATTGTCTGCATTCGTTAATGTTTTGTATATTTAAAAAACACGCAAAATATACCTTCTCGTAAAAGTAAACTGAATCCAACAATATTGTTTTGAATTTCATACCATAGGTACGGTATCTTATGTTTGGACCAACTTAATAAACTATATTTAGTGCGTTTTAACAAATGATCTACCTCAGTTCCGGTGCAGCACATGCCGGCCATTACCTCGGCGTCCCTCTTAGACACATCGCTACAAAAATAAAATAGAAATTAGCTCCCGATTGATATGTGAGACTCATCTTATTTAAAGTAACACGAACTGTTAAGTTTTCGTTACGGTTAGTTCTTTCAGAAAATAAAAATCAATTTCCGAATGTTATGAAGCGTATCGTTTTAGAACGGGTAAATAATAGATATTTTGTTTTGTATCTGTGACGGTCAGGAGGTTTTTGACTGCTAAAAATCTCCATTTAAAAAGCGAGCGAGCGAGTGAGATGGAAGATCACTGTCTTCTCGGAATAACTTTTAAAAAATATTGCCAGATGTCGGTTATCGCGATAAAAGTAGAACTGAAACTATCTCTATACCAAATTTCATCTGAATCGGTAAAGCGGTTTAAGCTTAAAGAGGTTACAGACAGACAGGCACAATTCCGCATTTACTCGTATAATATTAGTATGTAAGTATGGATTTAAAAGACTGACGTTCAATTAGTTCAGTTTCTTAGATTGCTTTATCTAAATTATTTTATAGCAATTATCACTAAATACTAGACCTATTTCTCACTAATACTAAACATGTCACACAGTCACATAGACTACTAAACCACAGATAGCGTAGTATAGTGTTGCACTTTAAAAAAATGTAATATTATTGTAGTTGTATAAGGTTAGTATTAAGTTAGTTATATTAAGTTGTATGCTGTTCTCTTGCAGAATAAAGTTTATTTTATTTTTTATTTTTTTTATTTTTTTTTATGTCGAACTTAATAAAAATATTAATTTATATTTTTACTTTTTATTATTGATCCAGGTTTATCTTACGATCTAATCTTTAAGGACAAAACCAACTGACCCGCTATAATTTCCAATTAGCAAAAAGTACTATCATAACTTTGTTTATAATTGTAACTAATTATAAAAAAAGACTGAAGGTTTTTCGCTCTCACAAACAAAACCCCATGACGAAACACTGCGTGGTTTTAGTCGATTTGAACAGTTTTTTTTCTGTGCAGATATCCTCTCCTATACCACCCACCCGGTCGGACTCGAACCGACCAAAAACCGCACGCCGTCTCGGGCACCAGTTGCCGGGGAACCAGGTGAACCCTAGGAAGGAAATCCCTGATACGAAACCACTTCCCCGTTTGGTGCCGGTAAAGTGAATGATAAATAGATTTTGTCAATATATTTCTTTAAAAGAAACAGTATCAGTCACACAATCAATCAATTATTTATTGCTCCAACATCCATTAATAGGCATCTTGTGTGACGAGTCAGAAATTTCATATTTATCTGTCTCTTACTTCTATAGTCTCTGTTAAATGTATATTTTATGTAATGAATTTATTGTGTAGTGATGTGTATGTGTTTAGTGTATATGTTTGAATTAGTTTGTATAATCAAATAGTCGTTAGTCTTAATTTACAAAAAACTCCGATCTACAAACTGCAACCCCCTATCTCACTCCTATTCTCCTTCTCCATCCAGTGGTTGCCTGGATGAGATCGCAAAACGCGATAAGGCCGCCAATTGTACAAATTTTAATACTTTACTCTCCATGTTACATTAATTTAACTTTAAATATAAGACACATAATGTATACAAACTGATTTCTTCTTTTTTTATTATGTTTTTTGTACAATAAAGAGTTATCTATCTATCTATCTCTTCATTCTTTTTCAGCATCGCCCAATCGGTCGACCGGCAGAGAATGCCTTAGGCATTAAGTCCGCCGATGCATATATATTTGTGCAAAAAGTTATAAAATAAAATAAATGACTCCTTAAATACAATAAATAGTACTACTCGTAGTAGGTATACTACCTATCTTTGGATTAAAGACCCCTTTATCCACTCCTGACAACTTGTATCCAAAATTTAACGACGATCAGTTAAGTAGTTAAGACGTGAACGCTTAGCTAGGATTTAATAGAGAGACAGAAATACTCACGGAGTATTAGTACACTTGGTGAGTGAAATCTCTTTCCGTAAATTCAAGATCGTCTGTTCGTATTGTTGAGCATCTTTGTTAAGCTGTCTTATTTCTCTAGAAGGAAGAAAAATAGACAAAAAAAGAAGTTTATTGTTTATTTTTTAGTACATAAGTTAAAGTCCGTGTGGTCCCATTACAAATCTTCCCCATAATCGTTCATCATCCCTCATTAAAGGACTCCATCATCATCATCTTAATGAGGATGATAAGTTATCTCTCCACAATAATTAAATTAACATTTTGTAAACTTTTCATCCCAGGGGTGTCGTAAGACCGCCGCATAGTCGGGGCATATTTGTCGGAGAGAGCCGTCGTCTACCCCAGTAGGACCGGTCTCGGTAGGCGTGAAATGTCGTGCGGTGTTCCGCAGGGGTCGGTGTTAGGGCCACTCTTGTGGAACATCGGCTACGACTGGGTGCTTCGTGGTGCCTTCTTGGATGGTGTCGACGTCGTGTGCTACGCGGACGACACACTCGTGACGGCGCGCGGCAAGACGCACCACGAGGCAACCCTGAGGGCCACGGCCGGGGTTGCCCAATTCGTTGAGCGAATCCGGCGGCTGGGTCTCGAGGTGGCTCTGCACAAGTCCGAGGCCCTGTTCTTCTAGATCTAGCCTCACGGTAGGAGGCACTCGATTCAGCATCGAGTCCTCGATCAGGTATCTGGGGCTCGTACTCGATGGCCGATGGGACTTCGGATATCATTTCCGAGGTCTGGTCCCCAAGTTGGTTGGGGCAGCGCGTGCTGCTGCCCACTCGGGGGTTGTGCGGTCCATGGCCCTTTACGGCCTGAGTGCCACTACTGCGATGGCCAGACCGTGGACACGGCTCTCCACACGCTGGCAGAGTGCCCGACGTGGGTTGAGCAGAGGCGAGACCTCGTGGCGGCCATCGGAGTGGGAGTTCTCTCGCTCGATAGCCTGATTGCGGCTATAGTGCGGAGCGAGAGTGCGTGGATAGTGCGGAGCGAGAGTGCGTGGAACTCTGCCGTCTCCTTCTGTTATGCTCGCGAAGGAGACGGCGGAGCGGGACCGGGAGAGGTTTAGAACTCTCCGCAGGCGACTCAGGCGCCGGAGGTCGCGGAACGACCTCCGTCCTCCATAAGCGCAGGCCGGGGGACGACAGGTGAGGCCATCTGTCACCCTAGCAGAAGCAGGCCGGGGTGGCGGCGAGCGCGTTGCGAAGCGCGCTCGCTTCCAGGGAGTCTGTAGATGGCCCGAGGTATGTCGGGGCACCAGGGACTTCCTTTGTAAGGTATACCTGGTTCCCCGGCTATTAGTACCCGAGACGGCGTGCGGTTTTAGTCGGTTCGTGTCCGACATGCCACCGATAGGTTGAATCCGAGGGGATTTCCGCACGGAAGAAAAAAAAAAGGATGTCGTAAGAGCCGACTAAGGGAGCAAACTACGCAGGAAAACAGCACTGCAAAGAGAAGGAAGGACCAGCGTGGTATAGTAGGCCAAAACCTCTTTTCTTCTAGGTCTATGTCCAGCAGTGGACTATCAAAGGCTGTTGATGTGATGTGTGATGTAATATGAAACTTTTAAAGTAAGTACTACGAAAGATCGTGGTTATCCCTATTAAATTAAAAGCAGTAAACAATTTGACGATACCAATGTATGAAATCGTTCCAAATCGGTATTTCAAATACAATTTTCTAAAATTTCTACAAAAACTGCACTTTTGACGTTCCATTATAGAGAGACATTTTTGATTTGACAGTCAATTACCGCATTTATATGTTATAATGTCTTGGAGAGTACAACTTACCTATCTTTTGCAACATTCTCCTTCTTCAGCGTTTCATTCAGCAGTTTTAATTCACACAACTTGCCGCAGCCCTTCTTCGAATATCTCTGAACAAAACATAAATCAAATATTTATGAACGCCAAATTTCTGGGATAAAACTACGCAGAACAACAGCACTGCAGAGAGAAGGAAAACTTGACACAAACCTCTATACCAACTACACTATTAAAGGCTGTTAATGAAAGTTTCTGGTATTAACTATTCTTCATAGCATTAGCATAGCATTAGAATATGGACGGAATTTAGAACATGAAGATCTTATTGAAGTGAAAACTTCTTTAGCGGCGTTGTACACTTTTTTTGTAATGGGTAAAAAATGTTAAACTCGCGTCAGGACACGTGACCCTGATCGAAAATTCGTAAGACGGTTGGAGCGTAGACAGCCGGCGCGGCGTAGGAGAGGAAGTATCCCCCTCTCTTTCTACGGCGCAGCGAAACTGTATGCCTGCGCCTGCTGTTTCGTTTAGCCGGCGCAGGGCAGATAAACTTTTTGACGTGACAACGTCTTATAATTCGATGGAGCTGCACGCACGAAAAAACATGACTCATGCGGCGTTACCTCGCTCTGAGGCGTTCCATTTAAGGCTTGAAGTGCATGCGAGAGCGCGGAACGAGCGACAAAGAGGCACAATCGGCCTCCGCGTTCGGCAGCGTTCGACATCTGTCTCTCTCCTACTTGAGTGAGCGATGCGTCCGCGTGGACAGCTGCTACTTGTATACAATAATACATTTACATGTTTTCGTAAAATGCAACCATTCCATCAGTATTTTCTTATGACGTTGTCACGTTCAACTATCGTCAGTAAACCGACTTTACAGACAACCGATTTTTTTAATGTAATATAAATTGTCATGTTTGTGTACGATAGCGCAATAAATAAATATTGTAGGTATTCTACCACATAAATGATAGTACTTTTATACTGATAATTAAAGCAATTCGTGCAAAATTATTCCCTAACCATTCCAAAATATCAAAAATGCACAACGTTAATATTCAAGTTTTCACTTCTGCCGGCACTCCCGGAGTGCAACCCGTCGTTTTGTAAATTAGTTTTTATTATTAAAAATGTAATAATGTAACGAACGCCATAGCGGATACAGCTAACCGTTATTCGTTGATCAAGTGGTCTATTTTTAATATGTCACACTTAATATCATACTAAATATACGTGACGTTGTTTGTTTATACGACGGCGACAAAAATTTCGTCACAACTCCCACACAAACATGAATGAAATTCCAGCACATCTAGTAACTATTAAGAATTCTTGTGAAATGTAAGAAATATTATAAACTGAGAAACCCGCTGTGCAATAAACTAAGAGAATACATCGCCGCCTTGTCGATACATATATATAATAAAATACTCTTAAAAGCAATGAATATCAAATAAATATCTCAGAAACTAAGAATGGTAATCCACGGAAATAGTTTTTTTAATAGACCATTAAATATTAATTATATACGCGAGTTACGCAGATATTTATACCTTGGAATTTCCTGTCGCTTTGACCAGGTTGCACAGGCGTTAATTCCTGTATGTGAACATAAATATATATCATGGAATCAAAGGTTAGTAAATACCCTTTAAATGAAATTACTCAAAACTATTTGTCCCTTGTAGTATATTCATCAAGATACATCTTGATGAATATACTAGAAAAACTAACCAGAACCAGATTTCTCTTCCACTTTACAATTTTTTCAAACCTTAGTACAGTGTTACCTCCACGTACTGCCCTCACTGCGATTATGCGGTTTTACCTAATTAGGAAATATCTCAATCCTCCATGAGAGCATTTTGAGTTCTCGAATTTGATCTACAGGTTTTTAGGGTTCCGTAGTTAAAATGGTAAAAACGGACGCATTATAGTTTCGTCATGCCAGTCCGTCCGTTTGTCTACACTATATCCCACAGACTCTTGGTGCTAGAAACCTGTAATTTCGCATAGCATACATACTAATCACGTGGACAAATAAAAATGGGAAAATAAAATCTTGAAAAATATTTTTTAAGGGTACCTAAGGGTCCGTGTGGTGACGGAATAAAAATACGTAATGTCACCACCCCTATTCATCCCGTGGGTGTCGTAAGAGCAGACTAAGGGACCAAACTACGCAGGACAACAGCACTGCAAAGAGAACGAAAACTTGAAACAAACCCTATACCAACCCGTCTGGCCAGCGTGGTATAGTAGGCCAAAACCTCCTTTCTAAGGAGAGGCCTATGTCCAGCAGTGGACTGTTATAGGCTGTTGATGATGATGATGTACCTAACTAAGGGTCTAGTAACTTTAAAGTGAGGATGTAATTTTTTATATTCATATATCCTATCATATGGAATGTCATTTGATAGGTTTTTTAAAAATAATAAGAAGTTTTTTAAAGACAATATTTTGATTACGGTATCCGTTTGTAAAATATTAAGCCTTATTACGTTTTGTTAAAGTCAAATGTAGAAAAACTGTCACAGCTAAGTAGGCTGGATTATTTTAGGAGTAATAATCGACCAACTAATTCGAAGTAGGCCGCCAAACCCGTAATGTAAATTTGTTTATAATCTAAAATAACAAACCGCCCTAGTCTTATTTATATTTTAGTTACTTATTAGTTTGCATTATTGTGATAGTTAACTACGGAACCCTAAATTGGGCGTGGCACGACACGCACTTGGCAGGTTTTTTTATGATAACATTATGAAATTGTTTAACCAGTCATTGTTCTTTATTCTTTTTTAAAAAGACAACTCCACGGTGTCACGGGGGACTTTGCAAATATACATGAAACGGACACAAAGAACACCCAGACTCAGAACAACAATTTGTGGATCACACAAAGTGTCGTCAAATGTGGGGGTTTGAACCCACTACACTCGGCGTAGTAGGAAGCGGCGTGGCGACCGCTTAAACCACTACGGCATCCATCATTGTTCAAGAAGTCCTAAAATACTTGTCTAACTCGTTGGCACATCGTTCGACACAGTCACAAATATCTTCACACATCTCACACAGGGCCGTCTGATCTCACACTAGGCACAGCCTGTTAAGCATACATATTTCTAAATACATTCATATCATGGATAATTCACACGCAGATACAGAACAAATTATCCTGCTCATCACACAATTGACCAATGAACAATTGGAATCGACTGCACGGATGGCGTAGTGGTTTAAGCGGTCGCCACGCCGCTTCCTATTACCCCGAGTGTTGTGGGTTCAAACCCCACATGGAACAACACTTTGTGTCTGGGTGTACTCGTACTTTGTGTCCGTTTCAAGTATGTTTGTAAAGTCCCCCGCGACACAGGATTTATTAATAGTGCGGGAGTTGAGTTTAAAAAAAAAAAATTTTCTGGGTGGAAATAGAACCCACAACCTCCTTCTTAGCAGTCAAGATCACTAACCACTAGGGCAACAGGCCAGTCTTTCTTATCTTCTCTCTACTTCTCTTACTCTTATCTAACATTCATTTAACTTCTCTAACTCACATCACATCAACAGCCTTTAACAGTCCACTGCTGGATATAGGCCTCTCCTTAGAAAAGAGGTTTTGGCCTACTATATCACGCTGGCCAGACGGGTTGGTATAGGGTTTGTGTCAAGTTTTCCTACTCTTTGCAGTGCTGTTGTCCTGCGTAGTTTGCTTCCTTAGTCGGCTCTTACGACACCCACGGGATGAATAGGGGTGATGACAATCCGTATTCTTACTCCGTCACCACACGGATCTCTCTGAATCACAAAATTACAAATAAAAAACAGCATAATAAATAAAATCGTGTATTAAAAATAAATACAAAAACAACCAACAGTGATCACTGCATGAGTTTGTAATATCGATTTGCTTTGTGTTGTTTTGATTCTTTCAAAGTGCGCTGGTTCACCGGATAGCCAGTCAATTTCTTTTGTCGCCTGCGAACAAAACGCCTAAAATTAAGTCATTAAATTCTAAAATGTTTTTCTAGTAAAAAATTCGCTTATTTAAGCGTGTCCATCTTATATAATGTAAGACATTTTGTCCACACGCCCACCACTGTAACTCCTGTACACTACGTTCAACAGTAGTGACCCACGAACACAGCGAGTTATAACACTCGGAAAGTACCAGGAAAGGTTACATTGTCTTGGCACCCGCAACAAAATTAATCAGAAGTAAATTGGAGGAGTTGGAAATATAATAAATACACTTCCCTTCTAAGCAAAGCTGAAAAAATGGAGCAGAAATAGGCTTACACCCTATTAAACATATGAGGATGGACAAAAAACATTATAGGACCCATAGATGTGGGAGCTCGCCTTCTACTAGCTACTCAGTCAGTAGTCTCAGTCCCACTTCTCTTCAAATTTTGTTCGTCATCATCAACAGCCTCTAATAGTCCACTGCTGAACACAGACACAGATCCGTGTGGTGACGGTTAAGAATACGAAGTGTCACCACCCCTATTCAACCCGTGGGTGTCGTAAGAGCCGACTAAGGGACCAAACTACGCAGGACAACAGCACTGCAAAGAGAAGGAAAACTTGAAACAAACCCTATACCAACCCGTCTGGCCAGCGTGGTATAGTAGGCCAAAACCTCCTTTCTAAGGAGAGGCCTATGTCCAGCAGTGGACTGTTATAGACTGTTGATGATGATGATGATGAACATAGACCTCTCCTTAGAAAGGTGGTTTTGGCACATAACGCCATCTAGTTTCAAACTAAGCAGAGCTTGTACTATAAAAGTTAGATTGATTGACAGAATACTTTTTTTTTGTAAATACATATACATAGAAAACACCAAAACTTCGTAATAAATATTCCATTAGATCATACAAATATTTGGTCCCACCCGGGAATCAAACCCGAGACCTCAGCAGTCGCATACGCTACAACTGCACCAACGAGGCAGTCATAGACAACAACAGTTTTTAAAATATACAATATTATCAATAGCATGCCAAATTCTACTCAAAAGAAGTTCAAATCAACACTCACCACTCAAATGATCCGAAGATATCGGACTCCGTGATTTCGAAGAAGTGAATACCGTCAAGCGTGCAGTTGTCAAATTCTCTCAGTCGCCTCAACACTTCGACGAGCCCGCGCAAGTCAGAATCTTTACGCGCCAGACGCCGGCGCACAGCCGCTAGTTCCGACCGGAGCTCGGACACCACCTGATGGAGACCCAGGGCATTAAATCTAATGACTATTGATTTTAGCGTTGTGATAATACATTGATACTCAATCTTTATTAAGATGAATTGATTTTTGGAACATCAGGTGGTGTACGAGCACTCTAAATTTTGTTAACTTCGGCATAGTTTTTCAAAGAATCTCGCGTTTTTTGCGTTTTATGCATAGCGAATTAAACCATAAAATATGCAAGTTAATATTAAGATGCTAAAACAATACATTATATATAAAATTCTTAAAAATACCACCAATATTCTCATCCTTGCTTAATAAGGAATTAACGCTACGCTAATTAAGAATCTACTGAACTTTCGGTTTTGATTATTAAAGATATTTGTATCCCTAACAACAGGATTCATTGAATACTACACCCTCGTGAACTTACCTCGGACTGTCTTTTGCGTTCATACACTAATTTAGTTGTCGCTTCGGCTTCCAAATCTTCGACAGCACGCACCAGTAACGTGTTCTGACCAACCAGATCGTTTACCCACGCTCTGAGTACATCTAGTTGTAGCTAGTAAGGAAAGAAAACCGTATGATTAGGTATTTCATACTATATGTTAGATGAAGATATACTTTAAAGAACATGCAGAGACATTTGTGCGTATGGGATCTATACTGCAGGTGCTTCTTCATTGGTTACCTAAATACGATAAAGATTTCTATCACATTTCCCGGCATTAAAACTAACTGCCTACTACATCTACTATTAGTATATGGAAGTAATATTTTGGACATCTGACACACAACGCCATCTACTTTTAAACTAAGCAGAGCTAGTACTATGAAAGCTAGATCAATCAACAGCCTATAATAGTCCAGAATGGCCAGTCTATAATGGCCAGACGGGTTGGTATCAGGTTTGTTTCAGGGTTTCTTTCTCCTTGCAGTGCTGTTGTCTTGTAGTTTGTTCCCTTAGTCGGCTATTACGACACCCACGGGATGGATAGGGGTGGTGACATCCTGTATTCTTAATCCGTCACCACCGTCACGGATAAAGCTAGATTGACTGATAAAATACTTAAATACCTTTTTTTGTAAATACCTACATAGAAAACACCCAAACTCTGAAACAAATATTTGCAGATCATACAAACATTTACAGTAGTCGTATACGCTACTATTGCACCACCGAGGGAGTCAATTGTTACTTTTCACTGAGTAAGCGTCATCATCATCATCAACAGCCTTTACTAGTCCACTGCTAGACATAGGCCTCTCCTTAGAAAGGAGGTTTTGGCCTACTATACCACGCTGGCCAGACGGGTTATATAGGGTTTGTGTCAAGTTTTCCTTCTCTTTGCAGTGCTGTTATCCTGGGTAGTTTTGCTCCCTTAGTCATCTCTTACGACACCCACGGGTTGAAAAGTGGTGCTGACACTCCGTATTCTTAATCCGTCACCACATGGACAGTTTATTGGAGAGTAAGGTTATGGAGGAAGGAAGTTTACCCGTCTGCTCTCTTCTCTATTTTACTTTATATGCTGCTCTTCTCTGCTTTCTGACATACCAGTAAGGCAGGCTAAATAAAGCAGAGAAATAAAACGCAGTTCTAAACCCGCGGCGGATTACTTTAATTTTTGGACAATATTGTTATTCGTTATAATAAAAAAAAACATTAGATAATTTTGATACAGAATGAAAGCAATAAATAAGGAGTACAAGTCAACTGTAGTATTATTTCGTTCTACTTTACAGCTAGACTACAAATATGATAAATCTAAACCTACAGAAGAATGGCGTTTTTCCTTCTTTGACATCAAAAGATGAAACGTATTTTTTTTTTCAGGAAACACCTTTTTTTCTTATAAAAAAGACAACTCCCGCACTAGGAATAAATCCTGTGTCGCGTGGGACTTTACAAACATACATGAAACGGACACAAAGACAACCAGACTCAGAACAACCTTACCGATCTCAACATACAATAGCCTCATCACATACCAGCATTGCAGTAGTAGATCTAAGCCACTGCAACCAATCTTTTATAGTGTTGTACCTATCTAGTGAAGCACTCACCTGCAACTTCTTAGATCCACCAATTCTTTCAATCAAGTTCATCTTTTCTTCATACATCCTCTGTACATCCTTTAGTATGGCCAGGGTTGGCCCATCTTTACACACGCACAAGCCTGTGTCCAGCTCCGCTTCCTCTGCCTCCACTATATTCTCATTCATGTTGCATTTAAACTATCTGATATAAAAATAATATTTCATTGTATATTGTGATGAAATGTGGACAGTGACATTTGGTACAAATTCTTACTCTGACAATAGCAGCGTGCGGTCACGTTTTTTAGCTGAACTATGACAAAAGAATAGATATTAAGTGAAAGAGGTCGTACTACAGAAAGCAAGAAGTGTCGCCACCTATTGCATAGATAGGACTAAAATTATGATCTGAGGACCCAGTAGGTCTAGTTAGATTATTGACCCACACTGAAATCTTCAGCAATCGCAACGCCAAACGCGCTCGCCATCAAGAGAGAGTTGAAGGAAAATATACTCACACTAGGACCTCACCTAAATGCGGCCTTTTGACACACCTTTGTCTAACCCTTCGGGAATAACACGTGAGTGTATGTTAATTTTAAAAGACTACACCTTCTCTAAATCACAAGTCATGAGAGTTTTTTGTACACATATTCGAACGCAGTAGTGTAAAATTTAAACCTCACTAGTTTATTCACACAAGAGCAGACAGCTATGTTTTTTAAACAGTAAAGAGTTAAAAAAACGAAATCTTATGAAGATTGCTTGAACCTACTTGGCTTGTCAACAAGTTCAAAAACGTATTAATTCTTGATAAAACTGAGCTAAAATTATGAGAGATGGCTCATTAGATTCGGAATGACGTCTAGAAAAATTAATCGCAAGTATGTATTAGCACATAAAAAAATTGCAACTGTTATTAACAAATTAAGATGAAAAAGATAGCATTTCGTTTTTTTGTTAAAAACTCCTAAATTATTAACATTTAAGGAATTTTGAAAAACGATCCTTCATTCGTCCATTGCCTGTCCTTTCCATTTAGCCTTTACTAGTCCTCTGTTGGACATAGACCTCTCCGTAGAAAGGAGGTGTGTTGAGTGTTAACTAACCTATACAGCCGGTCACAGTATATGTTGCCCTGTCGTGGTACAGAAAGCCTACCAATGACTACTTACCTGACCTACAATGTTTAACTTAATAGCTGAAATGAATAGCTAAATACTGTGTGCTGGTGGTCTTCACGGTGGTCCGACTACCTGGTAAAGGTCGAGGGAAGCCATTGGAAGCGGGCAGCACAGGATCGGTTGTTGTGGCGAACCTGATGATGACTCCTAAACGAGCTATAGTTGAATTTCGACCACCAGTCGATTTATAATATTTACATTATAAGTGGATGCGAATATACCGAAGTCTGGGTGGTGACGGATTAAGTGTACGGAGTGTCACCACACTTATTCATCCCGTAGGTGTCGTAAGAGCCGACTAAAGAAGCAAACTATGCAGGACAACAGCACACTCAACACACTCAACACACTCTTTGAGAAGGAAAACTTGAAAGAAGCCCAATACCAAACCGTCGGGCACGCGTAGAATAGTAGGTCATGGCTTCTTTTCTAAGGAGAGGCAAATGTCCAGCAGTGGACTGCTAAAGGCTGTTGATGATGAAGCGAATACACGAGTACCGATTTAAGAAACCAGTTAATTGAAATCAGGTCCATTCTGGAGGAAAACTGGATTTTGAATCTTTTGAGGGAGGTTTTTTTTATTCTAGTGTGAAAGCGTAGTAGAACAAATGCAGTATCCAGTCACTGGTGCGTGACAACTGCTATTTTTGCTCCTTATTTGCTACTCCCGAAAAATATTTTGGGAAATGATGGGGAAATCTAACCGAGAACGTTATGGGAACAATAAAAAGATATTGCTATGAGGTGAAAAGGAATGTTTTCGGGAAAAGACCCACTTGGGTGATTTGTAAATTGAAGTTTGGAATTGTCGCAGTCTCTGAGAAACCTTTTTGTCTGTCAAGGATACGAGGTCATCCCACAGCGAGGTACTCTTTTCTGACGTAACCTATACCTCATATATTTAACCCTAAAATACTCCCCTAAGTTTTAATTTTTACGAGTACATATGAAATAAAGGTGTGACTTAAAAAATTAAACAAGTAAATATCTTAGAACATGTATATTTTTAAATAAGAATTTGGCTATTTCTTTGTACCTAGGGTATTTTCACTAGTGTGCGTCAGCTCCCTGCTTAAAACGAACATACTTCGTAGAAAGCCTGCTCTACAGTGCATCCATTACAACAATATGACATATTTTTATACCATTTCATTATACAATACATCCAGAAAGAATACATTTATAAAAGCACAGTCTAGAGTATACAGATATAAGCCTAGAGTGAACAAGAGCCCCAATCTTGAAATATAGATAACGAGAGAGATGGATAAAAGATAGTTCCCTTTATCTCTTTCTAGTCGAGCTCTATGGTTGGGCCGAGAAATTTCTAATCTCCCGTTTTACGATCAAAACCATACCCACTTCACCATAGCCAATCGCAGCTAAGCTAAACAGAGACGGAGGGAACTATCGGGCATCCATCTCTCTCGTTGCCTGTATAGTTTCCACTTACACGCAGCTATACCCCATGTTCTCTCTATACTTATATCTCTATGGTCTGGAAACAATACATAGAAAGGTTATAGAAAACTACTGAAAGGCTAAACAAACATGTTGCAACATACAGAAGACGTCCGTATTTATAAAACAAACAGGAGTCTCGTCAAGGAGCGCAGCGACTCATCTCGTAATCTTTTTTTTTCTTTCTTTCTTTAAAATTAACTCATATATTATGTCAAATGTTACATAGTAAATTTCTTTTACGTATCTTCGAATAGAATAAAGTCGGTGCTTATGTTGGTCACAGCCTGCGTCTCGCAGGATTGTAACCGACTCGTCACAATGTGTTATGTGACTGACAAAACTAAATGCAATTTTTATGTCATGGCACCAATTAAGCAATATCAGATATACTGTATACTATAAACGTCAAAAAGGCATTCGTTTATTGATTACGCTTTTTTTTCTACGTAGGATGTTACAGAAAAGTGTGGTCATATTTCAGGGTCGTACTTGGGAAAATTAAATAAAATATTCAAGTGACACGAAAGTGAGAATTGGATTTGAAAAGTTGTAAGGCCGATTTAGTTAATATTTAGTAAGAAAGAGGAGTTGTATTACTGACACTATAGGTATTTAACACTTACTATGGATGTGCAGATTTTTTTGAAATTTCTGAATAAAAAAAAAACATTGTAATTAATGCCAAAATTCATATTTTGAGGTTCATATATTGATATTCCTTTCATTCCTGAATACTGAAAGAAGGAAATTCCAGAAAGGTATTTTCTAAGGCAACCCACTGTATTTTTTTATATATACATATCACGACTAAAATTTGACCACCAATTTCTGTAGCACTCTGTATAAGGCATATGTCAAAATAAATTTAAATAATATACAAAATTGTCTACTTAGAACCTAAAGCCTCAACTTAAAAGAGGTAAATTCATACAAGCATATACGATAGCAAAACCACCGAATCGTTACACATCTGTCCGTGCCTCGAAGATATTGCTTTTATGTGTGTGTCGTGGTCGAAACTAAGAATTGACCACTTCACAATGTGTGACCATTTAATGATTGAATAATCAATCTATACTAATATTATAAAGCTGAAGAGTTTGTTTGTTTGTTTGTTTGAACGCGCTAATCTCAGGAACTATTACTGGTCCGATTTGAAAAATTCTTTCAGTGTTAGATAGCCCATTTATCGAGGAAGGCTATATATCATCACGCTAAGACCAATAGGAGCGGAGCACCAATGAAGAATGTTTCAAAAACGGAGAAAATTTATTACTATTGAGAAACGCAGACGAAGTTGCGCGGGTCAGCTATTAGAACTAATCGTATCGTTTATGGCAAGGATTTGATGATATCAGTTTACATTTGGAGTTTGTTAATGTGGTTTAATATAAATTCTAAATAAAGAAAGATAATGTTTACTGCTATCTTTTGTGTACCTACATTATTTTTTGCTTTAAAATAAAATAATTGTCCGCCGCCATGATGCAACACATAAACAAAACGACAATGACAGCGCGTCTAACAGTTGGCAATGTAACTATTTTACAATTTGACCACTAGTTTTTGACCATATCATGTAATGGTCAATTGTAGCATGACGTATCATCAATCGTTGTCGTTTAATATAAGTTGGCTATATCATGGTCAGAAACATTATTGAAATGACCAATTTTTTATTTTGACCACGAAATATATATAATTTCTATGTTTATGTTCTGAGTTTCTTTTTGAAGTGATAACTTCTTATGGGAGGGTAAACCGCTTCGTTACGTAACGCGTTACGCGCATAAGGCAGCGGTAGGCAGGCTCCTCCTCTCTCACTCTAACCTACAGAGCTAGCCGTATTTCGGACATACGCTCCTCTCTCTATTGTGTTTAGGGTGCAATAGACATATACTGTTGATAGTGAGATATAACCTGAAACTATCACCATTTTTGAAAGTCCTTATAAAAATTAACAATTTCAATATTAAATAGTTCAACTTAGAATAGTTAAAGTTATCACTTCGGTCGGGCGTTCCAAGACGCAAACGTTGTTTTTGTATATAAAGTATTTCTTATTTTTTGTAACGAATAATAATTATTAGTTGATCACACTCTCGTTTCGTGTACAACCATGTATACAAACCAATGAATATTGTACACGTCATCAGATGACGTTGTGGCCATATTTTAGTGTAGTTACATACTTATAAAAATATAGTTAAGTAAGAATTAAAAAGATAATTTTTTGATTCGATCATGATTGATTTTTTTTATGGTATAAGGGGGCAAACGAGCAGACGGGTCACCTGATGGTAAGCAACTACCGCCGCCCAAGGACACCTGCAACTCAAAGGTCACAAGTGCGTTGCTGCCCTTGGAGTCCCTCCCGCTCCAGTCAGAACCAGTCACTTAGTGAAAGGCAACGAAAGAATTGCTTAACACCGGAAATTGTTTTGCAGATCTATTTTTAATTATATTTTTTATAAGAGCTAATTTAAAGATAAAACCAAATAACGTAATAATAATGATTACATGCAGTTTCTAAATTTT